GGTTGGCAAGATAGGCCACGGAGGACCCCCTTCCCTGGTTGGCGGGACTGGTTGAAGGGGGAGCATGTGCCCCCCCCACAACTAAGACAGCACCAGTTGCACATGCACTGCAGGATAGGAGTATTGGCAAGATGGGAGTCCAGGAAGGGTGGTCATTCCTAAAGGAAGCAATCCTTTGGGCACAGAGGGAGGCAATCCCAGTGCGAGGGAAAGCGGGGAAAGGGGCCAAAAAACTTCCTTGGCTAAACAGAGAAATCCAGGAACCCAAAGGAGGCATATAGGTGGTGGAAGCTACCATGGAGGAGTATACCTACTTGGCCCGCACTTGCAGGGAGGCAGTCAGAAAGTCTGGCAACACAAATTAAAGACAACAAAATGTCTTTTTTAGGTATGTAGGGAGTAAAAGGCAGGAGCAGGGCAACATAGGACCCCTACTGAACAAGAAAGAGCAATTAGTGACAGACAGGGGGAACAAGGCTGAGGTCTTCAATGAGTTTTTTGCCTCAGTGTTCCTGAACAAGGGTCAAGATAAGTCTCCTAATGGGTTCTTAGGTGGGCATCAGAGGGACACCCGCCTACCAACTGTCAACACTGACTTGGTGCGGAGTCACTTGGATGGACTGGATGTGTTAAAGTCGGCAGGCCTGGATGAGCTGCATCTGAGAGTACTGAAGGAATTCGCCAGTGTCATAGCAGAACCACTAGCATGGATGTTTGAGCGCTCGTGTTGCTCAGGTCAGGTCCCAGAGGACTGGAAAAGGGCCAGTGTGGTCCCTATCTTCACAAAGGGGAGGAAGGAGGATCCGAGTAATTATAGGCCAGTCAGTCTCACCTCCATCCTTGGAAAAGTCTTTTGAAAAGATTATTAAGGATCATATTTGTAGGAGTCCAGTGGGAAAAATAATGCGGCAGGGCAACCAGCATGGATTTGTAGCAGGTAGATTATGCTTGACTAATCTGGTTTCATTTTATGAGCAGGTCACAAAACGCTTAAACACAGGAGTAGAGGTGGATGTCCTTTTCCTGGATTTTCGGAAGGCCTTCAATACGGTATCTCATCCCATCCTCATAAATAAATTGAGAGGCTGTGACTTAGATGTTTACATGGTCCACTGGGTGGCAAATTGTTTGGCGGTCACACCCACAAAGTGGTAGTAGAGGGGTTGGTATCGACCTGGAAAGATGTGGGTTTTGGGGTCCCACAGGACTCGGTCCTTGGACCTGTACTCTTCACTGTCTTCATCAGTGACTTGGATGTGGGCGTGAAGTGTACTCTGTCCAAGTTTGCGGATGATACTAAATTGTGGGGGGAAGTGCACACTTGGGAGGGTAGGGAATGACTGCAGGAAGACCTGGACAGGTTGGATAAGAGGGCAGAACACAATAGGATGCAGTATAACAAGGACAAATGCAGAGTGCTGCACCTAGGGCGTAAAAATATCCAGCACACCTACTGGCTGGGGAATGATCCTCTCAGCAGCACAGAGGCAGAAAGGGATCTTGGAGTCATAGTGGACTCATGAACATGAGTCGTCAGTATGACGAAATAATCAGCAAAGCTAACCGCGCTTTATCATGCACCAGCAGATGCATGACAAATAGAACTAAGGAGGTGATACTTCCCCTCTATGCAAGCATTGGTCAGACCACAGTGGGAGTACTGCATCTAGTTTTTGGCACAGTACTTTAAGAAGGATGTGGATAACCTTGAGAGGGTCCAGAGGAAGGCCACTTGTATGGTTAATGGCTTGCAGGCCAAGCCCTATGAGGAGAGACTAAGGAACCTGGACTTCTTCAGCCTCTGCAAGAGAAGGTTGAGAGGTGATCTTGTGGCTGGCTACAAATTCATTAGGGGGGCACAGCAAGGGATTGGAGATGCTCTGTTCACCAGGGCACCTCTTGGGGTAACAAGGAACAACAGTCACAAACTGACAGAGAGCAGATTTAGTCTAGACATCAGGAAGAATTTCTTCATGGTCAGGGTGGTGGCAATTTGGAATGGACTTCCAAGGGAGGTGGTGCTCTCCCCTACCTTGGGGGGTCCTTAAGGGAAGACTGGATAGGCATCTGGCTGAGTTCATATGTGCCCAGCACTCGTTCCTGCCCAGGCAGAGGGTCAGACTCGATGTTCCATTGAGGACCCTTCCAACCCTAGCATCTATAAATCTAAGCCTGAAGCAAGTGAGGGTAATACAGCTAGTGGTCTTAATCATGCAGAGGTAAAATATTAACTAAGTATGTTCATTGAATGATGTTTTGTTGCTTATGTGCCCTGTACAACAAAGGTAAATACCTCTCTTTTTTCATCAACTGCACTTAAACATGTATTTACCTTTGTTGTACAGGGCACATAAGCAACAAAACATCACTCAATGAACTGTGGGGAGTGGGTGCTACCATGTTACTCCCGCTGCTGGGTGGGCTGGGCAGTGAAGCACATGGCAGTGCCCGCCGCTTTCAAAGCGGCGGTGGCGAGGCACGGAGACACAGAGCAGAGGCTGAGCCCAGCTTGCAGCTGCGGCCTGCCCTCACTCATGCAAAGATCAGGGGGTCACGTGCCCTGCCCCCTCCTTGGCTGCCCAGTGCCACACCTCTGGAGGAACCACTGCACTCTTCCTGGGGATGACACAGGGTGGGGCAGGTCAGGCACGGAAGTCCCGGGGGCTCCATCCCCTCCAGCCCGACGGTGCAGCCAAGGCTGGCCTTGCTCCAGGACCCAGCTCTGGGGTGCGGTTGGGGCCGGGGTGGGGAGGCAGCCAGGGCCGGGGCCAGTGCAGCTGGTCCAGGTGCTGGGGCAGGGAGGTGGCCAAGGTTGGCTAGGCCAGGGCAGTGCAGCCAGGAGGCAGCCAGGGCCATTGTGGCAGCCGGGGCTGGTGGGGACAGGAGGCTGCCAAGGCCA